GATGGATTTAACTCCTAGATCAGTCACTGGAAAACAGAAATATCTTGAGCAGTATCATTAACTTCTCTACCCTCAGCTTTTTCTTTTATAAAACAGAAGTAGGTGTCACTCATTTCATAGAGATGTTATGTGGGATGACTATGAAGTCCCAGTGCTTACATGTGGAGAGCACATCCAACTGAGGATGGCGCTAGTAGCAGTGGTAAGACCAGCTGTCAGAACAGTGTGGTTTGGAAAGAAGTTTCTTGGCATCTGACTCATGGCAGGCAGAAGGCCTAGATTTTTTTTTTTTTATCAACTCTCTGAGATTTATTGCAAAGTAATTTATTTCTCTGTACCTCAGTTTTCTCATATTTCCGTAGGCATAATGATATCCCCAAAGAATCACAAAGTTGTAAGGACCAGGTGAAATCATAGTTGTGAAAACCCTTTGAACTCAGTGGAGCCCCATATGAAGTATATTAAGTTCTAAGTGTATAATTGGGTATTCTGCTACTTGATGGATCCTTTGGGAAGCAAAAAAGGCCTTTTGTAAATTAAGGTATTTCATATTTTTATTCAAAGTAGATTACCTGTGAATGAATTACTTTCTTAGATTTGCCTTTGCAACAGAACAAATGGTTAGTGTTCTTAATATCTAGTACCACAGATCACTCTGGGAAACTTTGATTGTAAATTTAGCCCTTACCTGTTAAAGCAGACCTACCAGGCTTAATGCAGTTGTACCTGGGTTGTACCACATTTAGTCGTTACTTAAGCATCATCTAGGTTCATGATTTAGAGGGTGGCCTGCAGAATTAAGAGTAATTGGGCTCAAGAGTGCAAGTAATATATTTGGAAAATCTAACATAAAATCTAATCTAAATCTATGTTGAGATTCTGGAGAGTTTTATAAATGCAGGAAATAGGAAGTTGGAACAAACCTTTGTTAAGTGGAGATTTATGTGCTAGGAATTTTTAAGAAAGTTCATTAAGTATAATACAATCCTTTAGCTTTCTCAGGTAGGTCTTTTTAGTCCTATTTAAATAATGGCACAGATGATTAACTAAGTTGTCAGGAGCAGACAGCTAATCTTTGCCTGAGACAAGATTTGAACTTGAGGTCTTTGAATTTGAGCCTAAGCAAGTGCTGGTAATGCTGGTCATAAAGAACCTCACTGACCTTCCTCTGGAACTAGATCCATCCATTAGTTGCTCTCTGTCATATTCATAACTCCTCTCCTTTGTCCATTTTTTAAGTTAGACTTTCACTGTAATTTCTGTGTACCTTTTGTTTTTTCTTTCACATTGTACTTTTCATCTTTCGCTGTTTTTTTCTTTTCTAATACTTAATAAATTCTTTTGGATCTTTTATATCAGAAATCTGAAAGGTCTAAATAGGTATAAAGGGTATAAATAAAATAGCACTTTCATTTCATCTTTCCTGAATATTGAACTTTTGGTGCTTGCAGCAGACACACATGAATGAACATATTAATCCAGAGGTTTGATTATAACTAGTTGTGTTTTTCTAAAATCCTAAATATCTTGCACTATTCAGTGACCACTGGAGTTCTGAAACCCCCAAATGTTATAATTTATTTAATTGTTTTTCTTTTTTTACATCAAGAGACATGGGTATAGTTATGGGGCAGATATTATCTGAATCTTTGAAGAATCCCTTTTGTTCTGTGTACTCTGAAGAAGAATCCTGTATTGAAAGGCTATGCCAGTGAAACATTACTGCTGTTTCACCTCAGTTCCACACAAGTGCACCACAGACCAGTGTAGGGACAGAGCACTGAGTGTGCCTTGTGAGGCTTGGTAGGCCTTTTAGCATGTGTCAGGGAGGGGCCTAGGCCTAGTTTTTTATTTTGGTCTTGGTTGGTTGGTTGGTTGGTTGGTTGGTTGGTTTTTTGCAGTACTGGGATTAAACCCAGGACCTCACACATGCTAGGCAAATGCTCTACCTTAGAGCTATTCCCAGCCCCATTTACATTTTTATTTTGAAACAGGGTCTTACTAAGTTGCCCAGACTGGCTTCAAACTTGCAGTTCTCTTGCCTCATTCTCCCCAGTAGCTGGGATTATAGACATACATCGCCACCCTTGGGCTGGCTTTAAATTTTAAATTGAGTGAATTATTATATATTTTAAGAAATAAGGCTGAGGATTATCAATTATTATAGGAAGATTTTCTTTTTGGGCAAGTCAAGGAAAGGAATGTGGCATTTTTAATATTAGTAGATCAAGAAGGTTATTGTCCCAGGACCTTAGTTCTTGATTGAAAGTTTTCCATTTCTTAGGAAGTTGCCCCAAATCTGTGGATGCTTTAGGTTTCATCTCTAAAAATGCAAGTGATTAGTTGTTTGGAGCCAAAGAGCATGTTGTTGAGTTGTATGAGGGGGACCGAAATTAAAAATAAAAAGAAAGAAATCTTAGAGAAAATGGGAAGGGGAAAGAAAAGAAAAATTCTCAAGACAAATCCAGTTGTAATTAAACAACATAAGTAACAATAACTGTTAAGATATTGGCAAGTTTTTATTTGTGATCATTTTCTATCTGTAATGTATCCTAATTAAGTGATTTTTCCCCTCTTGTTTTACAGAGGTCAGAGGTCAACTCCACTCACCCATGATGGACAGCCAAAAGAAATGCCACAGGCTCCCGTACTTATTTCTTGTGCTGACCAGTGAAGCGCCCTTTAATTATAAAACATTGTGCTTTACCTACTACCCTAGCCTTGTCTTTACCAAGGGATGCCTGTGAGTCCAATTGGTAGAAAATACAGACTGAACACAAGTGCTTGTTGCCCTGTGTGGCCCAGATTCACTTGAAGCAGAAGTTAGCATCCTGGGCCAGTTTGTTCTTTTGGAACCCAGAATCTTTGAGGATATTGTCGTCTTTGTGATACTGAACAGAAACAGAATGAGTCTAGAGCTTTGCTTTCCATTGAAGGCTTTTGATGGTAAACGGTGGTAACTTGGTAAAAGACTGCCTTTACTGTAGCTCATCCAGCATCTCTTTTACCAACCAGAGAGTGTAAAACTAGTTTCATATATTGCCTAGTTATTCTTTCAAAACAAAATAAAACAAAACCCTGACACACTGCACTAGTTATTATTAGATATTCTTAGTCTTTTTTGTACATGGAGATTTAAGTTCTACGATGATTTATATAATAGGATATACCTACATTTATATTGTAGAATAAATATAAAAAAGCCTGTTCCAGAGACTCTCAAGCAGCATGGGTAGGCAGATGTACCATTGTTAGGGGTTTATGCTTGGCCTTGTGGTCCATATATTCTACACTTTTATATTTGCCACCAGAGTGGTAGTTTGCTGACAAAAAAAAAGAGAGAGACAGAGACAGAGAGAGAATTACAATTTTTACAATCTGAATTTTTTTCTTAGACTTGAGTGACCAAGAATAATTTGCTTGGGGAAAATTGTGGCAAATATTTTCCCAGACAGGGGAAGAGTCCTGCAGATTACAGATTACTGATGCTTTCATGCCTTGAGGATTCTTTAATTTTTACACAGTGGTCTAAGTGACCAATGGATCATTCATACAAACAAACAAAAAAGACAAAAATATTATTCAGAAGTGACCTTAGTATTACTTCATTATTCTAAACACATTGAAGACACTCACTTCATGTGGACTTGGAGCTACAGACCTTTTACATCCATCACAGACAGACTGGACGGGTTGCAATTGCTATGCACAGCCTAATTGGCACTGCAAGTTTTTAGAGCCATTTCAAGTTTGTGTTGAGTAGGAGGTATAGCTAAATGATGAGGGAGGTATGCCTGGGGTGGGCTTCTCAGTTATAAATCCACCTGCAAGTTTCTGTTTCCTTTTTGTGTTTTGTTGCCAAGTGGATTAACTGGCTTAGAACATTCAACATATTGATTTCAACCACCTGACATTCACAGTGTCTTGTTTCCTAGCAAGAGATGCAAAGTGATAAATTAAAATTAGTCTGAGGCTACAGATTTTACAGGGTATTTGTTCCATAGCACAAAGTATTTCCCCACTCTTGCATCACAGCACAAACTACCAAATTTTAATTATTAGATTCCAGCAATAATTTTTAATGGTTTTCAAACTGGCAGAGTTTTGATAGTGCTAGTTCAAGTTTGAAGCTTTTGAATTAGATCTCTAAATGGTGACAGTTTACATGGTTTTATCTAGCTTTCTTATTTATACTTGACTGAATTGTAATGATGATTTTTTTCTAATTGTAATTTGACCTAATAGCCATATAAAAAAATGACTCTATTAATGCTGACTAGGTTTAGCTTCTCATGGTTGTAGATATTACTTCAGTTTCGGTGCTGGAAAATATGTACAACATACTAACAAAATTGAAAATAATATACAGAAGGTTTGTCATTTTTTTTTCCCAAAAGCAGGTAAAAAGAGAGCGACAGTGTGATGTCCTGAAAAATGCATATTCATTGTGAGGATGGAGAAAGTAAAATTAGTAAAAGGTTAATGAGTGGTTATAGCTTAATCCTATTCACATAGAAATAAATCAAGTGAACAGCCCCAGATCTTAGCATACTTTTACTATGATGCTGTTTTATTAATATTTTCTAAATTCCAAAACAAAAAAGTGAATGTTTGAAAATTGCTGGGTCCTGACATCAGTGGCTGTTGGAGTTTTGGACCACTTGCTAGCAGTGATTTTAAAATTATAATTAGCTAAAAAATTTCAAAAACCAGAAACAAACAACCAACAACAAAAATTGTATGGTGCAGAACATGCATCTTGACAATGGTACTAACTTGTTACTCTATAGAACATGTTAGAATAGATCTATTTTTGCCAGACCTCCCTCCTTCAGTCCTCTGATTACATTTCACTAGAGTTCCTTATGAGATTGCTGTATATTCATGGGACCTTTTTTAAACAGAAGCAAAACAAAACATTACTTTTTTCTATGTGATTAGTATCTTACTTGATCTGCTTTTCCTAAACCTCAGTGGCTTTTCCCTTAGGCAAGGATGTGGGTGGGAGGGCAACTTCCTGGATATCACTGTTTTCAGATACTTTAAAACAAACCTTTTTGTAGAAATGGTTAATTTTTAAGCGGTTAGGCACTGAGAGTAGCAGAAATCCTGCAAAGCTTTATAGTTCTTTAGGCACACGCCCTGTCCTTTCTCTGAGTGAAGTCTTTATTTCATTAATAGTGCTTCTTATGCCCTGAATCTGCTGGAGAAAGGGGTGTTGGTATTTTCAGGTAACAACATTTATTAGCACAAATATTTTGGACTAATATATAGCACTCACCCAATTATCATTTTCATTTCATTTTTTCTCATTCATAGAATAAAAATCAAAGGATGCACCAGGAACCCAAAACCAAGCAAGAATAGTTATCCTATTTTCAGACAAAATGGATTTCAAGCCAAAACTGATCAGAAGAGGCAAAGAAAGTCTCTGGTTAAGGGAACAATTCAACAGAAAGACATAACCATTATAAACATATATACACAGAATACCAGCACAACCAATTTCATAAAATAAACACTAAATAAAACATCAGATAAACATCAACACAGTTATAGCAGGGACCTCAATACCCCACTATTACAATTTTTTTTTCTTCTCCACTATTAGAAATTGATCAACTGGACAAAAAATCAACAAAGATATATCAGAGTTGTAGCAAACCCTTGGAAAAATGTACTTAAGAGATAACTACAGTGTTCCATCCAACAACAACAGAATACACATTCTTCTCAGTAGCACACGGAACTTTCTCCAAAGTAGATGACATATTAGCCAGCAATGCATGCTTAAGTAAATGTAAAAGAACCAAAATTAGGGCCAGGGATTTAGCCCAGTGGTTCTGCTGCCTGCCCCGCAAGCACAAGGACCCAAGTTTGATCCCCGGTACCAAAAAAAAAAAAAGAATCAAAATTATCCCATCCACATTGACAGATCATAGCACAATCGCAAAAAACCCCACAGAAATTATGCAAATGCATAGAAATTAAACAATACATTATTGAATAATCAATAGGTCAAATCAAGGAAGAAATTAGTTCCTAGAATCAAATGATAATGCCAGTAAAACATATCACAACATATGGGACACAGTGAAAGCAGTTCTAAGTGGGGTTATTTTTAGCTGTGAATGCCCACCATCAGTAAAACAAAATGAGCCCAAATAAATAACCTAATGATGGGGGCCAGGGATTTAGCTCAGTGGTACCGTGCCTGCCTTGCAACCACAAGGTCTTGAGTTCAATCCCTGATACCAGAAAAAAAAAAAAAGAAAATAACCTAATGATGCACCTCAAGATCCTAGACAAACTAGAGCAATCCAAATCCAAAGAAAGTAACAAGAAAGAAATTATGAAGATCAGAGAAGAAAATCATGAATGAAATTAAGACTAAAACAACAATACAAAGAATCAATGAGTCAAAGAACTGGTTCTTTGAAAGAATAAACAAAATAGAAAAACTCTTAGCCAACTTTACCAAAAAAGAAAAAAAAAGAGCCAAATCAATACAATTAGAAATGAAAATTGAAATTACAAGGGACAGTGCCAAAATTCAGATAATTATCAACTTCTGAAAGAACCTGTGCTTCAATAAACTAGAGAATTCAGAAAAAAATGAATAGATTCATAGACATATATGAACTGGGCTGGGGATTTAGCTCAGTGGTTCCGCCACCTGCCTCACAAGCGCAAGGTCCCGAGTTCCATCCCCGGTACCAAAAAAAAAAAAAAACCAGAACAAGACACATATGAACTACCCAAAATGAACCAAGTAGATATAAAATCCCTGAATAACCCAATCCTAGGCAGTGAAACTGAAGCAATAATAAAAAAACCTATCGCCAGGGATTTAGCTCAGTGGCACTGTGGCCACCTCACAAGCACAAGGTCCTGAGTTTGATCCCTCATACCTAAAAAAAAAAAAAAAAAAAAAAATTCCTATCAACTAAGAAAAGCCCAGGTCCTGATGAATTCACTGCTGAATGTTATAAGAACTTTAGGGAAGATCTAACACCAATATTCCTCAAACTCTTTAATAAAATCAAAAAGGAAGGGGTACTCTCAAAGTCATTCATGAAAGCTGGCATTGCCCTGATTGCAAAACCAGACAAGGATCCAAGCAAAATAAGAGTACTATTGACTAATTTCTTTAATGGATATAGATGCAAAAATCCTCAACAAGATACTGGCAAACATGATGATCAAGAAAGCCTCATCTTAGAGATGGAAGGATGGTTCAACAAATACAAATCAATAAATGTAATATATCACAGACAGAAGCAAGGACAAAAAGCACATGATCATTTCAATAGATGCAGAAAAAGCCACTGAGAAAATACAACATTCATTCATGATTAAAAAAAAACACTGAAGAAAATAGGTATAAAAGGTCCTTATTTTAATCTGATAAAAGCCACTTTTGACAAACCTACTGCCAATATCATATTAAATCAGAAAAAACTGAAAGTTCTTCCTCTACAATCTGGAAAAAGACAAGGATTTCCACATTCACCACTCCTGTTCAATGCAGTATTGAAAATATTAGCCAGAGCAATCAGGCGAGGGAAAGAAATAAAAGGATATGTTTAATAAAGGAAGAAGTCAAATTATCATTATTTGCAGACACCATGATCCTTTACATAGATGACCAAAAAAACTCCAACAAAAGATCAATACACAAAAATCAATAGCATTTCTGTACAGCACTGAAGAGCTCACAGAGAAAGAAATTAGGAAAAGAAGGGTCTGGGGATTTAGCTCAGTTGTTCCGCCACCTGCCTCACAAGCGCAAGGTCCCGAGCTTGATCCCCGGTACCAAAAAAAAAAAAAAATTAGGAAAACAATATCATCAAGAAAAAATACTTAGGAATTAACCTAACCAAGGAAGTAAAAGACCTCTGCCATGAAAATTATAGTACTCTCAAAAAGGAGACTGAAGAGGACATTGGAAAATAGATGTTCCATGTTCCTGAATAGTTAGGACCAATAGAGTTAAAATGGCCATACTTCCAAAACTAATGTACAGACATAGGTATAGGCAAGGACTTTCTGAATAAAACCTCAAATGCACA